CAAGAGAGAGAGAGAGAGAGAGAGAGAGAGAGAGAGAGAGAGAGGAGAGAGAGAGAGTTGTGTGTGTGTGTGTGTGTGTGGCGCGTGTTTTATCACGTGTGTTTGATCGCAACGTGCATCCCGTAATCATCCGTGTCGAATGGAGTTGCGCCGCTCCTGCCTATCTTCTGTATTCGTCCCGTGATTTGATAACTTTTTTCTTTTATAACTTGAAAAATAAGCTGCGGACAAAATTTTTGTAAAGGAAAAATCGTCTCAGAATTAACTCAGGAATACGTCTGTGCAAGGACACCTGGGTTGTTCTGAATCACCCTGTATATAGCGTGATAGGATTTTTATGTCACGATTCGGGACAATATCCTCTTCTGATTGGCAGTTGTAAGTTGCTAGATCTACACCGCAATTAATAGAATCATAGACGGTGGAATAACATAAAAATATAAATAGTGCCGCTCAGACAAACAACTAGCTCGCGTTAAATCAGCGGATCTCTTTGATCCTCGTATTATCGTTTTTAATAAGTGAGTGGATGCGCGCAAGGGACGTATACGGCGGTGAATCCTTCTGCTACACCACAATATTTTCTCTAAAAACAATATATTTAAGAGAACTTATTTATTACTCTGTTTCAAACTATTTAGCTATTTCTTGAGAAAATTGAATATTAGGAATAAATATTAATTTTATTTGTATTTATGGAAATTTTATTCTAACTAAATATATCAAATTCTTGTGTGAAGTAAAAAATTACATACATATTTCAACATTACAATAGTTTTTATCTTCATTTATCTTAAATAAAGAATTTATTATGTTTATTAAATAATATTCTTGTTTCAAATTAACGAATAACTTTTTCTGAAAAAATTTATACTCTGGCACTGAATACATATTCTCTTATTTGGAAGTAAGTAATTATTCTATATAAGTAAATATAATATTTGATTCAAACAAAGGAAGAGTTTATCTCAAGAAAAAGTTATTTTTATTAAAACATATGGTTCTCTTCCATCGACTCCATATAATAAGTAAATAGAATTCTTTTTTTAATCTAATATTCTTGATTGAAGTACTTAACTTAATAGGATCTAAAATACGTTTTGAATAAATGTTATGTTTATAACGAACTTACAATATATTTGCGGATATATGAACTTATGAAATACTTGAAATAAATATTATTTACTTAAATACATTATGTATTTTTCTGTGTGTACTTTTGTGATCTTTTGTAAAAGGAACGTTCTTTATCAAGAATTTCAACTTGATCCCATTTAATAGATTTCAACTTAATCCCAGTTATCGTATTAAAATCATATTATTTTTAACGTAAAATAAAATAAATCGTAATAATTGTTGACTTATTAATTAATCATAATTAGTTAATTGTTGAAATCCAGGGCGTGACCTCTCAAGGAGGTGAACAACCAGAGGGCAAATCCGACACAGGGAAGGCTCATACGGAATCTGCTCCGAAACACGCATTAGGTATAGCGGCGCACTTAGACGCCGCTATGAAAAGCAATCTCGGATGGAAGGGAAAGCCGCCAAGACTAAATCAACTCCGTCTGAGGTCACGCCGAAAACACAGGACAAGGGGGGACGACCTCCGGCTGGCGCTGTAAAACGTGCAAGAGACCCAAGACTACGTGTCAAGGGTCGTATGCTCAGGCGACCAAAGAACTGGTCAGGCTAGCTGTCATTATGAACGAGTGGCGTATAGCGTTCAACGCTCAGGTAGCAGGGGTTTTGTTCCTTTCGCGGTTCAACACCCTCACAATGAATGTCATTATGAACGGCTACTCCGACAAAAAAAGAAGCTGAAGAGGAGAGCTTGATCAGGAAACTGATCAGAGGGCGTATCCTCGAATCGATGGAGAAGAAAAAAGCTCCTAATTTTATCAGCTCCTGGGTAAGGGACGGCGCACTCATCTTTGTGTGTGCCGGTGAATATTCAGAGGGATGGCTCAAAAGCCTCCTTTCTGACATAAAGATTGGGGAAACCTCCCTGTGTGTAATGCCAGTCGACAAGCTGCCAAAGCGACATCGAGTGGTGGTGCACATAGAGGAACCCGGTATCAACACTGAGGAAACTCTGAAGTTCCCCAGCTTACAAAATACGGGCCTGACAACCAGTGACTGGATCGTCACCAGGAGTAGCGAGAGAAGGGACTCCAAGAGTGCTCACTTCGCTTGCGTCGTTGGCGAGACGTCACTGGAAACCATAAAGGCCTGTAACTTTAGACCTTTCTGCGGGCTAGGTCGGACAACAATCAGACTGCTCGATAAGGAACGCAGAGAAATATCAGGGGGAGGAGGTACCCACAATGGCTGGGAAACCTGAGACTGCCTAAAAAAATGGCTACTCTCCCTATCACTCAGACCAATTTGCATCACAGCAAAAGCGCCTCGGCAATTTTAGCCAGGAGCATGGCTGCGATCAAATAATTGTTCTTTTTCCCAACAAACTCCTTCCTCCAGATTTTCATTCAATGTCCACTCGCCATAACCCCCCTATAAGATATTCCACTTTTCTTCCACCTTCCACCCTCTTTCTCCGCTTTCTTCCGAATATCTGTATCATGTGAACTTCTTTAATTTCCCCGAAGAATAACACATACATACACACACACGCATTTGCATATGTATATATTTATCAATAAAAAATTACACAATTATAATAATGTCATCACCAACTCATTTTTATTTAGAACCGTTTTACCTCTGTAGATAAAACTGATATTCTTATTATAATTTAAGATCTAAGATTTTATGTTTTTGTTTGTAGTGATTTCTTTTTATGTATTACATTTTTTTGGGTACAATTAAAAAAAATGACTATCTTTAATTTAGAAACCGCTTAGCTAGTTCCACTTCGTCCGATATTTTTTATTCCACGACAATATAATTTAAAAATGTCTACAAATACATTGGAGAAAGTCGTTTGCTAAAGAGAGAGTTTGTTGAGTGGAGATCACACTGTACCTCAATTTCATATTCTAAAGCCAGCGACGCTTTGCTCCTTGAAAAAAATGAAGGGCCTAAGCGACAGTTAAATTTCGCGGTTTTCGGCGGAGTTTTGTCATCTCTCCCCCTCCCCACTTTTCCGCTTGTCGTACGTCGTTCCCGCGCAAGATCTATAGAGAGAAGGTTACCTAGAGACCACGGACTAAGGAATAGAGGGACTGAGTCCAAAGTCCTAGTTTAGGCGAGAGGGAATGGTAACTCAAGCGTGCGGGGGGGACTGCTTTCCGCCATATTAATGTAGCGATTCTCACACAGAGATTCTGTGTCTGTGACATGGTTACACTCGTGTAGTGGTGCCACTAGACATAACGAGTGACAAGCATAAAGAGATTAGGCGATTTTATTATTGTTGTATTATAAATTTTATAAAATACTTTAACTTTTATTACTCTGAGGCTCTGCATACAGTAGACAAAATATTAGAAATAGCAATAAACATTTTAATATTAAAAAGAGAAATTATTTTACATCTAACAAGAGAATAAAATATATTAATTAGTTCCAATTCTTATTTCTTAATTTATGCATTAATTTTTTCTATTCTTTTTATTTTTAAAATAAATAATTCCAATTTCTTATTTCTAATATTTAATAATTATTTCTATTTCTATTTCCTATTTTGTTTATTGTGCGCAGGAT